AGAGAGAGAGAGAGAGAGAGGGAGAGAGGGAGAGAGAGGGGGGGGGGGAGAGAGAGAGAGAGAGAGAGAGAGAGAGAGAAAGAGAGAAAGAGAGAGAGAGGGAAGGTAGGTAGGTATCCAACGAATTTGTGTTCCGGGATATAGAGAGGAAACCACCACGGGTTGGTTGTGAAATTGTCAGTAGGTGTCAGTGTCTTGTTGTGACGCTGACGTTTTTTTATCATCTTCTATTCCTTCCCTGTGTGGTATGTGGTGCAGTGTTCCACCATGCATTGCAGATGAGCTGGGTGCGGATAACTGTGAATGTCCTGACTGTCATGTTGCTTGAGAGGGCTGAAACACGGCCAGCCAGGACAGCCAGGAAGCCTGCTGTTGAAGAAAGCCACAGCAACAGTGGCCTGTGTTACGCCTTTTTCTCGTGTGCCACTGATGCGACTAAGAACGACGAATCCGACAGCGTCCAGCGATTGACAACGAACCAGGTTCTGAATCCGATGGTGCCCAGCGAGTCAGCGACCGACGAGCAAACAGTGTGTATGGTTCACCTCAGGAGCTTTATCTGTGAAACCTGGGAGTTAATGATCTGAGCAGCCTCAGTGAAGCCAGCAGGCTGCCAGATGGTGGGCGTCAGAGCCTCGTCTGACAGCCTGCACAGTGGTAATCGCAGGGGTCCAGAGACAAAGCCGCACTCTTCAACTTTTCTCATCAAGGCAATGGGAAGTTTTCTGTGACAATAATCAGAGCGTTCCAGCCTCCTGATGAGTAGGTAGGTGAATCTCCAAGGAAACCGTGTCAGAGCCCCTCGTCCGTTGTCGTCCTCTGCCTCTCTCCCTGCGGTTCATCAGCCATTTCTCCATGACGACAATACATTTCTGTTTGACGATATATATATTAATATATACGATATATATAATATTATATATATATATATATAGAATATATATCGCCAAACCGAGTATATACATTTTCTTCCACAGCACAAATGAGCAGATGCCATTGGCATGATCCGAAGTTACCCTTGGTAATCCTAGTTATGTTTTTACCATGGATATGTTTTTACTGTGGATATGTTTTTACCGTGGGGATTCTTAGTTATAATTTTTTTACCATCGGGATTCTTCGGTATGTTTTTCACCATATTGGTATTGTAACTTGGTTAGTTATGTTAGCGACGAACGTGTCAGCTGCACGTCGGGTGTAGTAGAGAGCAAGGGTACAACATTTTACTTGCTTCAAGCAGAGGATGCTTGTGGCCGCATGCACGCTATAGATTGCCACATGTGAATTGCAAATTCCGAATGGATATGGCTGCCGCCATCATGGGTCTCTGGAGTGGAATGGCTATGGATGGGGCTGTGCACTCAAGTGTGGCGCAAGTTTTGCAGTCCAGAACAGGGAAGGAGAACACATTTTTGCAGTCAGTCAGAGAACTCTTGAGAATTTATGTACTACCTACTGGTAGTCTCTACTCTACCCAGTTCAAACCAGTTAGGAACTTTTGAACGATATCCCGCTCTGCACCTTCAAAGAATTTAAATTTTCTCTCAGTTGCGATTTCATAGTTGCAATTCTCTCAACAGACTAAGTGCCGAAACGGAAAACGTTCAAATGCATGTTCCCACAGAAGAAAGTGGCAAGATGCATCTGTTCCTATGAATAGCAACAGATGCATCTGGCCACTTTTGGGGAAGATGCACTAGTGCTTTTTTCATTTCGACAGTGGTGTGGCGAGGCCCTAAGTGCCCGCCGCCGTAGCACCCCTTGTGCTTTTGAGTAGTTCGGCCCGTCGTCAGTCAGCAGTAGTCCGTCTGTCAGTCAGTCAGTCATCAGTTGTGAGTAAATTATACCAAGAGTAGACTGTCAGCGAGCCAGTGAGCTCCGCGGTGGTGTAACCTTTTTCAGCTGTACTCGCGCTATAGTCGAGTAACTAAGGGTCGTACTAGCCCAACAACTTGTTCAGCTGAATGTGGACGTAATTGTTGTCAGAAGATCTGAGGTGTGAGAGCATGCTCCGACTCTCCCACAATGAAAACGCTTGGCAGCGTAAACCCTCAGGGATGTCTGTTGTCGTTGCTTCGAAGTTCCCCCGCCAGTGCTCCGCATATTCAGGTCAGATACAGAGACGCTTGCATCATATCTGCTTCGACAGGCAATTGCCGTCAGTGGCAGTTGCAGATACCTGTGGTTGGTGGTCAGTCGCGCAGACAGGCAGCACAGGAGGACAGGTATGTAGTTGCCATGGCAGTGGAAAGCAGATACAGAGACACTTGCATATCTTCTGCTTCGACAGGCCATTGCCGTCAGTGGCAGCAGTGGCAGTTGCAGATATCTGTGGTGGTCAGTTGCGCAGACAGGCAGCACAGGAGGACAGGCAGGTAGTTGCTGGCAGTGGAAGGCAGGGAGTCAAATGCAGCCAGTTGAAGAGAAGTTGCAGGCAGGGTAATGCAGGCAGGCAGGCAGGCAGGCAGGTGCAGACAGAGGAAGTTGCAGATGGGAAGTTGCAGGCAGAGGAAGGCAGGCAGAGGAAGGCAGGAAGGAAGTTGCAGGCACAGGGTAAACGGAGGCAGGAAGTTGCAGGGAGGGTAATGCAGGCAGGCAGGCAGGCCATTCCAGGTAGGGGGAGGGCGGGCAGGATCGCAGTCACAGGCAGGGGAAGGCGGGCAGGCGGGCACACCATCGGCGGCAGTGGGAGGCAGGTGATTGCAGGGAGGAGAAGGTAGGTGGAGTGCAGGTACAGGCAGTCGCATTTGCAGGAAGTGAAGCGCACAGGACGACCAGAAAGCGTTCCCACACTTGGCTGAGGATCCTGGCTGTTGTCATGTTGGGCCAAGCTTCACGTGGCAAAAGCTCCCAGCAATCAGAAAGCCTGATATGATAATGTACCAATGTCCGAGGAGTATTCTGAGCTATGAAATGTTATGTGCCAGGTGATAGCTCCATGCTCAACGACGTGCCATCTGTGCGGATGGGTTTGCGCACTGCCTCTGCTAAGGACTGGATTCCTTGTCCACTCACAAGTCTATGGATGATAACAATATTTTGACATGAGCGAGCAACTGAATGATAACAGACAATGTTGGGCAAAAGAAATGCCGAGGGTGTGGCCTGCGGTTTTATGAGCAAGTGACAACGGTGTCTGTCTGTGTTACCACTTACAAAGAAACTGGCTACCTTTGCACATTGGCGACACGTGACGGAATGGTTATGATACGCTATTCATCTCTCTCTCTCTCTCTCTCTCTCTCTCTCTCTCTCTCTCAAAAAAAAAGAAAAAAAAAARAAAAAAAAAAGAATAAAATAATATTGGCGACACGTGACGGAATGGTTACGATTTTGTAGAATACGCTATTCATCTCTCTCTCTCTCTCTCTCTCTCTCTCTCTCTCTCTCTCTCTCTCTCTCTCAAAAAAAAAAAAAAAAAAAAGGAATAAAATAATATTGGCGACACGTGACGGAATGGTTATGATTTTGTAGAATACCCTATTCATCTCTCTCTCTCTCTCTCTCTCTCTCTCTCTCTCTCTCTCTCTCTCTCTCTCAAAAAAAAAAAATATATATATATATATATATATATATTGGCGACACGTGACGGAATGGTTATTTTGTAGAATATGCTATTCATCTCTCTCTCTCTCTCTCTCTCTCTCTCTTTCTCTCAAAACAAAAAAAAACAAAAAAAATAATAAAAATAATAATAATAATAATAATAATAATAATAATAATAATAATATAATAACAAGTAAGAATAAAATAAGGAAAAAAAGGAAAAATAAGAAAAAAAAGAAGAGCTGCAGACGTCGGGGGGACTGTCGAGGTTTCAATGTGGGATTGTCTTCTAAGTAGAATGCCAGGGTGAACGTTTACCAAAACAGGCAAGTCCACAGCGAACGAGTGTTGCTAAGCCACCATCCCCCCACCGTCGAAAATTCGGGGGGACTGGTAGGCCAATTTTTCGAATCGGCATCTCATCTCTGCTACCGGTCGCTCTAACTGCTACCACCGTTGTCTGCGTACTGTCCAACGTAGTGGGAGATCCAAAGGTAACTGTTCTTTCTATTTTTCGTGCAAAAACAGCGAAAAAGAAAAGAAAAGGCATGAGAGGGCGGTCATCCGTTGGGCGCTGCACATGTGGTTAACCAGGGGCCTGGTCCCATCAGCGAAGATGATTGGATTTCATTCCGGAATCTGGACGTGTTTGCGGACTCGTGCAGATAATTGCTCTTGATCTGCTTTTCTGTATCTCTGCGCAAATCCCATCCACATTCATGGATTAAACCCAACCCTCTTTGCTAATGGGACCAGGCCCCAGGGGTGTTATCTTCGGCGAATTTTGCACCGAAACTGCCACATTGTGCTGATTTTTATCATTTTTCGTTTTTTCTTGTTTTTCTTTTTGTGTGATATCTATGTGCTTTAGGGTACGTCATGTGTCCAGCTTTTACATTTTTGGATCAATAATGAAAAAGTTGGCAGTTCGTTGAATTCGTTGGACGCTTCATTTTAACTCGGGCGGTGTTTCTCTCTGGGCGCGGACATTAGTTGTGCAGTGGGTGTGAACTTCAGAGCGGGGGGTAATGGCCCCGGTATCTCAAATGATCTCAAATTTTCTCAATGATCTGTACAATTCGATATGGGACGCTGGGCCCGGTTCCCAGCACGTGCTGCTCCCCACGAATAGACTGGAGCATTTGTTTTCAAAAAAAAAAAAAGAAAAGAGCGGGGTGTCAGACGAACTTCGCCCGTGAAACTGTGGGCCTCACTCCACTACTCACTATTCGTGCAAATGAGAGAATGAATCTTCCGCTAGCTAATGGAAAGATACACTGCCAATTTTTTTTTTTATCTTTTGTGCATGCAGTGAGTAGTGGAGGGATACTCTGTGGGGACTTCGGACTTGGATGTCAGACGGACTTTGCCCATGAAACTGTGGGGCTCACTCCACTACTCACCATTTGTGCAAATCATGCCAAAATGAGAATTGATCTTCCGCTAGCTAATGGAAAGATACACTGCCAATTTCCTTTTATTTCACAATGCAAAAACACTGCCAATCTTTTCATTTCACAATGCAAAATAGTGCTACTATCGATCTCTCCGCTGCCTCCAGTACTCACAGTGTGCACAAAAGAGAAAAAAAATTGGGAGTGTATCTTTCCACGAGGACAGACTCATTCTCATTTTGCACTGATGGTGAGTAGTGCAGCGAGGTCCACAGTTTCACGGGCGAAGTTCGTCTGACGTCCCGCCCCGAAGTTCACGCCCAGCGCCCAACGAACGCCCACACCCAGTGCCCCACGAACGGCCACACCCAGTGCCCAATGAACGCCCACTGTCTCCTATCTTGTGTTTTTTTCTGTTGTGTCATGCGCGTTTTTCTTTTGACCAGCCCCCAGCGGGAAAACTGCCAACGACTCCAACGCGTTTTTCTGTTGTGTCAATAGCTCGGCCATTCGACTCCAACTTGCCAACGGTTGCCGACAACCTCCCCCCACACGTGGCCCTAACTCTCCGGAACGGCTAATTCAACCCGTAGGAAAAAGATAGGGACTAGTCCCTAGTGCCGTCTCCTGGTCTCGTGGGGGGTGAAAAGACCACGGTAAAAAGGACAACGAAGAAAGAAGCACGAACACAAGGAGAGGCCCCACCCCCCGAGGGGCAACATGAACTACCTCAGTTGGGAGGCCCTATGCTTGCAGGGGTCCCCTCTATATAGTCTTAGGTAGGTAGGTAGTGTGAGGTGAATTTGAGAGAAGAATATAGCTTTATAAAAAATAAAAAAAAAATAAGAACAGGGAGATTCTTGCTCCGCTTCGGGTAAAGTTTAACAACTGGGGTTTTCAACAAGTGGGGTTTTCACGTGCTCTGGCACTGCTCTGCCAGGCTAGATACGTCAGAAAAGATCATCGTCTACTTCCAGGATGCTTTCACACAGTCTCCCCGTCTAGGTCATCAAGAAAGTCAAGACTGCACTGAGCCAACCGACCTTCGCAACGCTTTCACACCGTCTCGCCGACAAGGTCGTCAAGAAAGTTAAGACTACACTGAGCCAACTGACCTTCGCGACGCTTTCACACCGTCTCGATGCCAAGGCCATCAAGAAAGTCAAGACTACACTGGCCCAACCGACCTTGCAGGTGAGGCCATTCGAGCATCCACGCTTTTTTGCGAACTCCGCCTCATCCTCGCTCAAAACTGCCACCCGTATATCCTGATCCTCGTCTGGAACCCTCTCCCACCCCGTTTTGCGTCACCAACTTGTGTCCGACCACCTGCCTAACACCATCTCTAACACGTCGGATGTTGAGGGAGATGGTGAAGCGGGAGCGGGAGGAGACTCTTCTTGGGTGCGAGGGTTGGAAAGCTTCATTCTACAACTTCTACAGCATCAATGAAGCATTCCAACCCTCGCACCCAAGAAGAGTCTCCTCCTGCTCCCGCTTCACCATCTCCCTCGACATCCGAGAGAACCTTGAAAAATTTGTAGACTAAGGGCCAGATCCCACTGGCAAAGAGGATTGGAACGAGTGTCTGAATCTGGACGTGTTTGTGGCGAGGTGCAGAAAACTGTGATTGATCTGCTTTTCTGCATCTCCGCGTGGAACACGTCCAGATTCAGACACTTACTCCAATTGTCCTTGCCAGTGGGATGTGGCCATAAGTCAGGGTCACAACTGAATTCTGTTTACGTTGAACTCTAAAACAAAATTGAAAAAAAAAAAAGAAAGAGTTGCGTCAGTAGCTCAACCCCAGTAGGGAGTACTCCCTCGATCAATGTGCATCCTCCCTCCTGTTTGTCTGCATACTGACCCAATTGGAGGTAGGATCTTCATTTTGTGTTCCGTATTTTGAACGGTGGGGGAGGGTGGGGGGTAGTTCTAGCTGTCAAGCATCAACAGTTGTATGCTTTTTTTTCTTTCTTCTTTTTTTTTTAAAGATGTGCTCCAATCTATTCGTGGGGAGCAGCACGTGCTGGGAATCAGGCCAAGCGTCCCGTATGAAGACATGTAAAAGACAATTTATGAACGAACTGAGATACCGGGGCCATTACCCGGTTTCGGCTTGAAGAGTACCCTCCAAGATCGTGAACAAGCTACTGGACTTCGGGATAGATGATGAGAAAACTATGTATCCTTTTTTACGATCGCTAATCAACAGTTGTATGCTATGTAATCCCTAAAACATCCATTCTCCCCTCTAGTAGTCTACACTGAAACTTATCTCTCAAATGTCCTCAAAAGACCTCAAATTTTCCCAATGATCTGTATAATTCGATATGGGACGCTGGGCCCGGTTCCCAGCACGTGCTGCTCCCCACGAATAAGTATGAAGTCACAGAGTCATGAAATCATACACACGTGTGAAACACGTAGATGACGCAGTTCAGGACAAAGCAATTGATAACATAGAAAAAATTCACACAGTATTGGCGTCCCCGACGCGTTTCGACGGCAGCCACGCCGTCTCATCAGGGGGAAATCCACCGGCGTTCCCGTACTAACCAAACGGACCACAAACCCACTTCCCTACGCTACTCCTACCAGTCTCCAGACGCCGGTAGGTCTCGCAAGTACGTCAGTCCTGAAGGAGCGAATCAATTGCGAAAACGCCCTATATACCTTCGCGAAAGTAAAACAAAACAGAAAAGTCTAAAAGCACAAACGCAAAGCCTACACTACGTCTACCCCACAGGTCGCGGGTTCAACGATACGTAACGAGCACACCAAAACAAAACAGTCCTGCCCTCAGTATGGCAGAAAAGTAGGCCCAGTGCCTGTGCCAATCTGCCCCAGGCATTGTCCTACATCAACAGTAGGTCAAAATCGTGACTGTGTGAAAAGAACGAAGAAAAAAGAAAAAACCAATAGTACCAAATCAGACCAACGAAAAGAGCCCGACAGGACGGCTGCTACGCTCTCCTCTATGGAAACTTAGAGGTAATGAACGAGCTCAAAACGGTGAAGGCATAAATTACAAGGTCAAGTTAACGCCGTGGTAAGAACCTATTCTGAGGTCAAACGTGCTTACTTCTTTTATATCAATATTGAATTAGACGGAACAGTACGGCTTCCCTGTCCGAATGCAGATATTCAAGTCCATGAGCTGAAGCTACAGCTCGCTACCCAAAACCGGATACTCCACAAAGGGCGCCGTAGAGATCAGTCCAACAACTCCGGAAACTGGAAATCAGAGCTACCTGCATCCCTGCCTGTCTGTCACATCTAAAAAACGCCAAAGAAAATGATCGGCAAACATAGCAAAATCACGGAAAGTCAGCAAAACGCACGACACTACGTCCGAAGTAATTGGACAGTGTACTGCCACACCTGGTCTCTTCGGAAAGCAAAACGATTCAAGACCTGCATGAAAAGAGCAGCAGGGAAGTCCTTTTTCATCAGTTCCCGCTTCAGGGCACTCACTCTTCGAGGGATCTCAGATCGGATTGTGGTGTTGCGGTCAATACGGTGCAAGTAGCTACCGATCACCGTACTCTTCTGCTTCTTGCACCCCCATGATAAGTAGGATTGCCCACATTGAATCTGGACGCATTCCTCAGACCACAAAGTAGCTTTGTTCTTCGACATCTGCACGCAGTTGACGAAAGGGAAACGGGTTCTTGTGATGATCTGGCATCCCAGGAAATCGAAGCTTCCTGAGCCATCATCGGTACGTTTCAAAGTGAGCTCAACAGGGTAGCATCCCTCAAAAGATTGCAGGAGCGCAGTCGCACCGTCAACCAAGCGGATCTCGTGGATCAGACGAGAATCCCTTCCTATACTTTGCAAAAACTGGTACTTGGCAAAAGCACATAAGATGCACGCTAACGGTGGGCTCGTTGTTTTCCCCATGGGGATCCCCACAGTCTGTTTGAGCAACACGCCCGTCGCATACGTGTAGGTGTGATCGAGTTCCAGTCGTACAAAAGCGGCCATCTGTCCAAACTCTAACAACCTCCAATGGTCGGCTCCCGTAGTTAACCCGAAAGAAGCCCCTTTCCCTCTGGAATTGACCCTGACAGCATTACGTCCCTTAGCTAGATGAAAGTCAAACACCCAGTCAGCCGCCCTGATAATTTCTGAATGCGGCAAGCGGCTGAACATCTCCTTAATGTCGAAGGAGGATGTTGAAACCGTGTACCTATCATCGAAGCTCAGCAGCTTACGGTTCACAAGCGATAGTCGACTTGCCAAACCTGAGACTGACATGAGATTAAAATGCCATTTCTTAGGCAGGGACTGTAGGAGAAAGTTTAGTCCGCGTGACACTACTCTTCCCGTCCGTACCATAGGTTCTTTGAAAGTGGGACAGATTGGACGATATCTGTCCAGGTCCTTGTGTTTTGGCAGTACATACGCCGAACCAAACTCCCCCGTCTTATCCCAACGAGCAAACTTGGCCAACCCTTTCCTCTCAACATCTTCTTTCATCTCCCTTAAGATCTCCCGATCAGACACCTGCATGATCCGATAACCAGAACTACGGACAAAAGTAGTCATCATAGCGTTATAGTACAGCAGCGGGCACATGGCTACTGTCCCTCCTGGATTGCGGTCCAGGGGAGACATCCCCAGGCCCTCAAGCTTCTTACACAGGTCACACACATCCTACGACGAAAGGTAGGAATCCGATGCGTTGGATCCGACAGTCATACAACACTGTAGGTTATCAGCGGAAATACACGGCAGATCACCTCTCCAATTCTGCCAGTTTTAAAAGACGTCCTCAATTTCCCATTGTAACAAGACGAGCCTATCACGTCTGACCACCTTAGGTATATTCCTAGCATTGTGCAGCAGCGGGTGAGTCCCCTCCAGTTCACTGATGCGAAAACGAACGTGCCCCTCAGTACGATGGAATGACATACCTGCACAATTGCAAGTCAGCACACCATGAGCGGCAAAGGCTCGTTGATTGTGCGCAACATCCGAAACTGAAGGGTTTTTTACCCAAACAATACGGACCTTCCGTCGCGTTCGATTCAGAAACCACTGTGGCAAATCACCATCCATGAGGGCATCGCTCACTACCTTATGAACTTCGGACACCTTGATACGATCATCGTACCGCACTTTGAAAATTGGATCTGAACTTAAACTGAGATCAAAACGTTCTCGAAAAATTCGGGAGATCAGCCGACGCAAGTACTTCCTTGTAGACTTTCTGGAAAAATCTTTAATCGCCTTGTATAGTCGTAACAGCGAGCGCAAATTCCAAAGGAACACATCACCTAACTTACGTGGGTTACGTAGGATCTGGATGAGCAAGGATTTGAGGTACCGGCACTTGCGTTTCCATTTCCACCAGTGCGCGACTTACAAACACCCCTCCCTTCTGTAAGAGCAGTTTAGAGTCCTTTAGTAACACGGTACACCCATCATGCTTGATCTTGGTCTCCCCAAAGGCCTTACGAATCTTCTTCCAACAGGTATGCCACACATTACCCCCGTCAATTGTGATATGCGCCCCTCGTGTAACCCGAGCTTAACAAGTGGTAAAAGTCAACAACCCATGGCTCTGTGGCAGATCGTCTCCCCCGGACGACTTTACACTCCTCGGCAGAACCCTGTCCCCGGCCGCGTATCTTCCTCCGTTCCCTACGTCCCGGACGTGCCTTCCTACCCCTGGTACTATGAGAAGAAGACGAGTTAAGAAACGGAGACCAACGTCTAATATACACAAGCTCAAGCTTACCAAGCTCCTCACCTTCCAAATGATCGATGGGTAGCAGGAGATAGTTACCTACCCCGAAGTTCAAAAGCCAACGGTGGAAATGAGCAGGTGTACGGGATCTACATACATACACGTGTTCGCGCCAGCGGGTCGTAACATCCCTGGAGGTTTTACCGATATACAACGACTTACAGAAAGGGGAAAGACCAGCGTACACAACATTCGAGAGATCGAGAAAGCCAGTGCCATGCTTCTCATACAAACGTAACCAAGATGGTATATACCTCCTAGTCCACCTAATTTCCCCATCCAGAGACAATCGGAGTACAATTAGGCGTAGGATCTCCTGCAGTAAGTCTTGCCGGAGTGGGGTGAGGAGGACTGTTGGTGGATTCCCGAGCCTTCTTCTGGTTTTTGTTTATCTCTGAATGTTCCTTACAAAAAAGCTCTGACGTAGCCTCAGTATACCGTTAGTCTCATTGTCATGAAATTTTCTGATGGTTTTTCTGAACGTACTCAAGGGACGCTGGGCCCTGTTCCCAGCTCGTGCCAATTTGAGAGGATATGGTTGTATCTATGGGACGCTGGACCCGGTTTCGAGCAGGTGCTGCTCCCCACCAATAGATGGAGCGCGTGTGCTTTAAAAAAAGGATCTCATCCACACGAAAGTCTATACAAGTAGATTGACAGCGGAACCTCGTAAGGTACTTGCACAAGTCCCATAGGATCGGAATCTCCAAATTGCGTTAGTTGTCCACCAGTTCATGAGGCGGTTCCCCAACCTCGCTCTCATTGACCTTGATAACCTCGGTGACATCGAGGCGGTCCGGGCCAAACCTATCACAGACATGTCGGTCAGCTATAGCAAAAATTGCGTCGATCTTACCGTCATATGGCACGCCCTCCTCCTTGCAGATGCGCTGTAGCTCAGTGGCATCGAGGTTTTTGAGGTCCTTCATAACCCCATCTCGATACCTTAGGCGTTGCAATGCCCCTATCGTCATTGGCGTAGCGGTCTTAGTCGGCGTCTTCAGTATCGCAGCGAGCGGTGTCTTCACAGGTGTCTTACGCTTAGCAGACCCGGGCGACTTCACCGTCTTCTTGGATCGGGTCAAGCGTCCAGCCAGCGTAGTGGGCCACAGGGCTCCCCGCTTCGGGGTACGCTTGGGTGGAAGCTCCATCGGCGGGCTGTTTTCCACGACCTGCTCAGGACCTTGCTTTCTCTTCTCGGAGATGCATAGCCTGCCTGTTCGCTCACTTAGTTCCTGAGTCACGCTCGTGTCACTAGCTTTATCGGCAGCCGAGTTGCTTCCGGACGCATACGTCACCTTCTTCTTCCCTTTCTTGATCAACTCCTTCAGAGGTTCGATCACACACTTCATCTTGGAGGAGAAGTTTTCCTCCATCTCACTCAGCCGGATCGCTAGGTGGATATCATTATCCTTCGGAACCTCGGCCCTTCGCTGAGCCTCCAGTTGAGCTTCTCGTCTAGCCTTCTCCAACTTCTTCCCAGCCTTTCGTTCCGCCTTCTCCTGTTCAGCTTTCTCCCGCTCCTCAGCCTCCTTCATTTCGAGTTTTCTGCGAGACTTATCTTCCTTCTTTTTCCTCGCCTCGCCATAGAAGTCCTTCATTGCTGCTACGGATTTACCGAGCTCAGCCACAGTGCTCAACATCTTCTCGTTGCCCGGCGGTGGCGAGTCCTCCCTCCGTCGATAATCCCTCGTGCGTGGAGAGCGTCCGCCTCGTGAGTCGTTGGACGTAGATGGCTTATCGACGTAATACCGACGACGGTTCCGTTCAGGGCATTGATTCGCATAATGCCCTGGTTCATGGCAATTATAACACGTAGGCGCACGGTAACGCCTGCGATCATCATCCCTCTGCTCCTCGTCCCTCCGGTCTTCGCTACGGCGGCCGTCCCTTCGCCGATTATCTCCTCCGCCTCGGTCGTCTCGTTGCTCAACCCCAGCCATTAGGGGCAGCAGGCTTCACCGACAACTAGTATGTACGAAACCCCTCCACGGGCACCATCTTCAACAGAGTGGCGGCGGTTACCAACAGTCTTGATCTTCAGTCTTGGTCTTCAGCAGCATCTCAAAAAATGTCGATAGTCAAGTGAGTTAACACGGTCACTCGAAACCCAGCAAACTTCACTCCAGGCCAGTTACCGTGCGCAATACACAAGTATGAAGTCACAGAGTCATGAAAGCATACACACGTGTGAAACACGTAGATGACGCAGTTCATGACAAAGCAATTGATAACATAGAAAAAATTCACACAGTATTGGCGTCCCCGACACGTTTCGACGGCAGCCACGCAGTCTCATCAGGGGGAAATCCACCAGCGTTCCCGTACTAACCAAACGGACCACAAACCCACTTCCGTACGCTACTCCTACCAGTCTCCGGACGCCGGTAGGTCTCGCAAGTACGTCAGTCCTGAAGGAGCGAATCAATTGCGAAAACGCCCTATATACCTTTGCGAAAGTAAAACAAAACAGAAAAGTCTGGAAAAAAAAAAAAAAAAGTCTACACTGAAACTTCCCTCAGCTCCCTTACGGATGATGTGGTCTGCATATATCACCACTTCAGTTACAAGAGAGAAGGGGGACATGTGCTTTCACGCTTCATAGAAAAGGACGATATACCGAAGTTTGTGAGGAACGCCCAGAACGTGACGAGAAGGGACTACTTGTTTCCAAGAAAGGTCTTTAGGACAGTATTTAACAAGCAACGACTCATCTGAAGGATGCACCACGGACATAGCCATCGGTTGCAGGGTGTTCTCAAGGACGGCAGACTCCGGCAGCGGCATGGACAGAGGACCACGTAAGGGGATCGGCCAGGAAGTTTCAAGACCTGGTACTCGAGCCTATCGATGGAATGTCGGCGACACGGCGGTGGTATGTCCGGTGCTCTATTGTTTCAGCGTCGGGAAGACCTTTGCCTCGAACCCGGTGTCGTTGTCTTCACAAAAAAAAAAAAGGATGTGCGGAGGGGCGATGAGGAGACAGGTGGTGGAGATGCCGATGGATGGGGAAAAAAATCACTAGCCAAATTCTGGCTAGTATCACGTGTGCCATGGCGGAAAAGAAGTTCCTGTCAATTTCGGGTGCAGAGAAAAGACAGTGAAGACTGGGGAGAGGATGGAGGGTCGTGGATGATGAGTCCATTATTGTCGGCTATGGGGACAAGGGATCATGCAGATATGCGGGAAAGATAAGTAGGGAGAGAGTATATGATCGGTTGCGTAGCGACCCGTACAGCACCGCATAGACGTACGGCCGTATGAATCAGTACCTCTACTCTACTTGTATGGGAGGGGTGACATACTTTTTTTTTTCCTTTTGTTTTCGTGTCGGGGTGTTGGTTAGTGTCCATGCACCCTGTCTGCCTATAATCAGCCAAAAAAACAAGGCTCCAAGGCCGATTTCATGTATACATGGTGTGTGGCTTAGAACACCCTGCCCACCTTTTTTTTTTTTTTTAATGAATGGTAAAGCTTATATACAAGGAACGGAAAACAAATGTATATCCGATCTATTTTTGTATCCAAGAGAGACGGTTAACGGGGGCTCAAATATTCGCCGTTTTCGTTGGCAATTGCGGTGCGAATTTCATCAAAAATTATAAAAACAAACGATATGAGACCATAGTGCAAACATCAAAAAAGGAAACAGGAAAAAAAAAACGAAAAAAAAAACAAAAAAAACACTATGAAACCCTAACACAAAGAGACTGTCCGAGTCAAAATGAAGCGTCCAATGAATTCAACAAAATGCCAACTTTTTCATTATTGATCCAAACATGTCAAAACTGCACACATGACGTACCCTAAAGCACATATATGTCACACAAAAAGAAAAACAAAAAAAAAAGCAACAAATCAGCACAATATGACAGTTTCAGTGCAATTCGGTGCAAAATTCGTCGAAAATAACACCCCTGGTTAACCACGTGTGGAGGGTATCCAATCTATTTATCGATTGGATATAGCCCCTGGATAATTAAAGAAAAGAAACACAAAAATGTGTGGGTGCGTGTGTGTTTTGTTTAACTTGTGTGTCTCTGTGTGTGTGTTTTTGATGGTGTGTGTGAGTTTCGTCTGATCACACACACACACACACACACACACACACACACACATGCAAGAGACGGTTAACGGGGGCTCAAATATTCGCCATTTTCGTTGGCAATTGCGGTGCGAAAACACATGCATATTTCCGTTGTAGAACTTACAGTGATTTATTTATTTTTAAGTACCACTTTTGGGTTTTTATTTTTTTTTAATATTTTAATTTTACTGTACGTACAAAATGTATGTGGCCACATATAGGATTGCGTACGTAAAATATTTGTATGTTATATACGGAAAGGCCCCATACGTGTACGAGCAACAACATAGATGATTGAAATCTGCTCCTAGTAAGGCAGGACGAGGGGCGGAACGTGTGGCGATTTAATGGTGGGTGATTAACGGTGGGCAGACGATGGTGCTGGACGGACCGTTCCAAGTGCATTTCACCAACAAGACCGAGAATATGAAGTTGAGAGACGATGGGACACGAAAGTACCAAGCTATGCAAGACTTCAACTCGTATACCGAGAAAAAGATGAAGAAGGTCATGCTATTGGCCACACTCAAGAGATTGGCGACATCATCAACTACGCCAGTGATGGCAGAAGCATCGGTAGCATACGCTGTAGTAGAAGTTTTCCTCTGGGGGTGCACCCTGTAGGTTTGTCTGAAGGCCTTGGCGAAATTGGCCAAAGGATTCGGAAGATAGCATCTTTATGCTCCTACACAGGGGGTTTGCACGAATATAAGATTGGTGAGGGTAGCCACGGGGGGCAACGAGATCAACAGGGGGCCAAAATTTTGGGACTCGGGGTTCCTCGAGCAGTGGTAGCTCGACAATTGTTCCTTTCTGTTATTTTTTCTTCTCTTTTTTTTTTTTTTTTTTTTTTTTCCTGTTATCCTTGCGGTTTCAACCGTTCTTATCGGTTCTCGGTTTTCCTTTTCGTTTCTTTTTTGTCGTTTTTCTTTTCATTTCATTTCTTTTTTTTTTTGTCTTTCATTCTTTTGATTTTTATTTTTCTTTCCCGTTTCTTTCTATTCGAGTTGGGACGTTTCTTTTTTGTTTCCTTTTTGTTTCTTTTTCTTTTGTTTTCCTTTCTTGCAGTTTGTTGGTCGCTCCGAAATTGGTTCATTTTACCCATTTTGGGTTTCAGTTTTCATGGGAAGAATGACCAAGGACAGAGAGGAGAATTCTTAGAAGCATTCGGATTGGATAGAGGGATGTTTATGGGTTGATATATGCGAACACTCTGAACATATTACATTCAGGGTGGGGTTACATTAGCGTGTGATCGTTAAGTTTCGAAGTGGTGGCGGAAATGTTCAATACTTTGAATGCACAATCTTTATGGTTCTTGGCATATCAGTAGCCCTCCCGTCGTTGGAGGAGATAGGTGGCATACGGATGTGAACACTGGTTTTTCCATCTGAATCGGAACGGGTTTTGGAGAACAGCACGACGAGTACGAGTGGGTTTGTGTTGTTTGTTGTTATGTTGCTTTGTACTTTGTTTTCGTATGAATGTGGACAAGTTATAGGGCATGGTGCAGCACAAGAAGAACACAGGTACGGCTTCAATAAGGATTCCATGAATGTGTAGAGACACAACAAAGGAAGATACGACCATGGTTGGCCAATGCATGTCGACAGCGCAACGCAGGTTCCTACATGACGCATGTGTGTCAGTGCCAGGTAGGAACTTACATCTACCTATTGAGACAAGGTACAAGTTTCTTTGATCGGTTGAAGAGCTCATGAGAGGTCACCCTCTTGAGGTTTTCGCTATGTGGGAAGATGAAACGCATAGAGCGATACTACGTTCTCGGTCTATAAATGAGGAGAGTGTACTCGGGCAGTGTCGAATCTAGTGAGTATGGTGATGGTGGAGGAAGGAGAAGGAGACCAACGAAGGACTCATATAGATTGATGAGGTTTTGAATCTTGTTTTAAGTATGTAATGTGCGTGACGTTGTGCTCAGTTCATGGTTTCTCGTTCCTCCTTTTTGTCATTTGTTGTTATACTCCTACTCACTAGCTCACCTTGTACTCCTCGTTCAGGTGGTTGCCGCCAGCGGTATGTAGTAAACGAAGCAGTAAACAAAGTTAAGGACCAGTGGTTGAAGAGAAGGTCGGTGATGGTCATATTCCAGGGAGAAGCGAGAAATCTGTCGCGTGCAGTGAAGGAAGACTTGATCAGGGCATACGAGGACGGTTGGACCACAAAAAGACTTTTCCAACCTGAAGCAAGAAGAGGAAGAGTCAAATTCGAGGGTCAAAATGTGGCTTCTTACGTCGCCAAGTCGAAGGAAATCGCCACCGGGTTAATACAACAAAAGGAGCTCAAGATCAAGATGGAAGACAATAAGGAATATTCGGTCTCATTCAAACCAAGACTTTCGAAACTGGAGCTGCAAACAGTTCAAATACAGGAAGCTGAGACAAGATTTTGGATAATGGCATTGAGAGTGTCATTGGACGCCTACTACTTCCTGGGCAGCGCAGTGGCAGGGCTCTTCGGGGAGATCGTAACGATGCACCCTCCGGAGTTCGACAAAATTCGATCGAAACTCATGAACGTCAAATTCAATATGCTATCGGACTCCTGAGCAAGGATAGATGATGAATTGGTAATCTAGTCACCAGAGGGGGAGTGCTGGAAGGTTGAGATCGTAACGCCTTACACAGACTGGTGTTGTCGATGCAGATGGTACTTTCACACTGAGGACAACTGCCCAAGGTTCAAACAGTCAGAGGAAGGAAGACGCGGGAATGGGAAGCGACAGGCAGGACACTGAGTGAGATACCGCCAACATTTGGAGAGCCAAGCACATCAATCCCGAGGGGATGTGAGAAGGCCCGCTGATAACCAGGTAGAACAACCACCATCGGTCGGTGGACAGCGTACGAGGAAAGGCGTGTCCAGGGTCACGGAACGGGATAACAGGACGGTGTGAAGCAAAGGGGGTGGTTCGACAGGGCAGAATTCATGCTGGTCCAGGGAGGTGTCAAGAAGATCGCCAGAAGCAGGGATAGAAGTAAGGAGTTTGCCTCGCGGAGAGCACAGTCGCCAGGGGCCAC